GTACAGATTTTCATTTTTGAGTTTTCACAATCGCAATACTTATCCTTTCTATATATTACATATAAAAACTGCATTAACAAAAATTATAAGTAGTCCTCCAGTTCATCACATATAAAATGAGCAAGATAATAAACAAAGAAAGATTAGCAGAAAATTACACATGAATACAAGAGAGAAACACTTTATTTTCATAAAATATAAAATATAAAGGATTGCTGCCCAATTACATTGGGTTGCTATACACACAGCATACTCTTCTATCCTTAAGACAATATATGAACTTATATATAAATATACAGAAGTATTAGTTAATATTAGTAAAACAGAAATATATATATATATACATTTTTATTATTTTATTTATCCTTATAATTTTTTTTTTTTTTTTTTCCTTTTTCCCTCTTCTCATTGTTCATGCTTTTTTTTTTTTTTTTTTTTTTTTTTATTTAACATTAAGTTTCCCTTTCTCTCACTTCTCTCTCTTTATCGCTATTGTTTTCAATTATTCACTAAAAAAATAAATAAACAAATACATAAATTAAAACTCTCGGGCTAGCCATGCACGTGGTGGTGAATGATTCCCAGGGAGTCGAGGACTATATTTTCAGCCAACCTCGCTACGTCCTTAATGTCGACACCTAGTTCCTCGAGGAAGCTCCTTGTTCTTTTTGGGATAGTTCCGCGAGACCCAAACCAGAGGCCTCTCACGGTGAACTCTCTCTCTCCGAAGGTCTCACGGAATTTCTCTTTTAGGAAAGGGATACATTTATCGTACGTGTTCTTCTTTTCCCTTTCCACTTCACCCGCCTGATCGAGGTCATTGCTCTCAAAGCGGACAGTTGGATCCAAGATCAGCGCTGTCCTTCCTGTCTTGGGAAATGCGACGATATCAGCGTATCTCGTAGAGCCCTCACTATCGATGCAATATACCTCGTCAAAGCAGGTGAATTTTTTTTCCCTAAGGAGCCTCATCAATTCGAACTTGACCCGGTGGTGACGACGTGTTATGAGGAGGGAGTTGTTGGGGCATTTTCCCAGCACATGTGCTGGTGTTTCAGACTCTCTGCCGCATTTACGGCAGAGGGACCCAACTTCTCTGACCTGTCCGCTGACTCCTGGGACTCCACGCAGGGGTGCATAATTAATGTTTAGTTTTAGGGCATTCGACCATTCAGACCCAGAAAGTACTTGCTTTTCGTAGATGTATCTATTCGCTTTCGGGGTCTCTTTAAAATGGCGAACACCAATACCCTGCCACCTGCAGTTGGCCCATTCCTCAAATGCATTTTCTCGTAGCGACTGCCGTAGAGCTTTCACATTTCGATGACCCTGATCAACCCCCAATCTCTCGGCACATTCAGCAATTTCAGCCGAATAATCGAAGGTAGACTGAAAAAGGGCATCTGGTACATTGGACAGTCGCTGAGCAATGGACCAATGTTGAAGAGGAGCCTCCCATTGGCAGCGGATTAATCCCAATCCTCGGTATCTCCTGGGGGCATACAACATCGCTGTGGAAGTATTCGCAGGCAGTCCAATAATGGCCTTTACGCTCCTGCGAATCATAGTGTCGATGCCCTCCAGTATAGCAGGACGTAGCTTTGTTAGGGGCGCAGTTTGGAGAGGGTAAGTAAGACCCGGGAACAGATATTGATTGACAATGTTGAGTTTCTGCTCAGGTTTAAGTAAGCAAGAGGTTACCAGCTTGTTTAGATTATCATTCAATTTAGTCACCGAATCTTCGTTGAATTGCAGCTCTCCCGAGAATGTACATCCTAAATACTTAATCGTATCTCCATTCTTCAATGTTTGGATGTACTCACCATTCTCAAGGGAGAGCACCGTAGTTTCCAGCTCTCCTTTATTTATAACGATGCCCATACTTTTTAGAGGATTTATAGCCAGACCAATTTCTTTAAATGTTCTTTGTATGCTGTCAATCACTCTTTCTGCAGCCCCCTTGTCACGCGCCGACACTGCCTGGTCATCCGCGAAACCTGTGAGGACCACACAATCTTGCTCATTCCTTAATTTGTATCCAAATTTCTTGGAAAAGTCCTCGTCACACAGGTCGCGGTAGAGATGATCGATGGCCAGGTTGAAGAGTGAAGACGACAGGGGGCCACCTTGGGGTACACCGCGCAGCACTTTGATCTGGCTAGTTGCATGGACACCGTTGCCAATCTTTATGGTGTTCGTGCTAAGGAGAGCTGATATGACATTTGTAAGATTCGGTGACACACCTCTCGCTTCTAAGGAGCTTACGATGTGTTTGTGCCCAACATTGTCAAAAGCACCGACAACGTCGAGGAAAACTATCGCACAGTCATTTTTCATTTTTTGTGCATCTTTTAATACCGCGTCGATGATCCTCGCGTTGACGTGCGTTCCCGGGAGGCCTTTTATAAAGCCTCTCTGACTCTTGTGGAAGGTGACCTGCTTTCTTAACTCGTAGTCCAGAACCTTCTCTATGATTCGGCGCACAATCGAGTATATGGTGATCGGTCTCCAGGTAGAGATATTGTTTATATCACCTTTGCCCTTATATATCAATATTGTGCGCCCTTGTCGAAGTGGTTCCGGAACATAGGCCACCTTCAGCATTATCTCTGCAATCGTTTTAATAATGCTTGATACCTCAAAATATTTTATTGTGCGGATCAGAACTCCATCAGGCCCCGGCGATGTGTCCATTGATGTTGATTTAATGGCTTTCCTGATAGCTTCTATCTCAATGGACAGCAAATCCGGCATCGGGGTACACTGTTCGTAATCCGCACGCCCGCAGAGATTTTCGTTCTCAAAGAGGTCTTTATAATGCCTCTCGATATCGGCCATTTTTAGAGGACACCGTTTAGGAGCGTCGGCATTCATTACAGTTTGCACAACCTTTTTTCTTTTATTATAATAATTATATTGGGCAACCTCGTACTGATACTGCTCTTGCCGACGACTCCTGTCTACTTTGTTTGCCCTCTGCGGATTTGAGACTTGTCCAGCACCCTTGTCAGCCATTTTCATTTTATTTTTTTTCCTCATCCTATAAAATTTTACGGCTGGGTGCTGGGGACCTGGCAGTTCCGCATTAATGACTTTGAGGAACTTTAGGAACTTGCCTACGGCCTCATCAAAATCCGCAGTATTCACCATTTCTTGCTTTAAAAGGTTCTTGAACGTAGTAGACCATTCAACAATGTCCTCTTTTATTTTTGATGACTCACCCTCTCCATTTCTAGGACCTATCACGTTCTTTACTATGCCCCTCAATGTATTATTATTCGCCTCCCTGGGATGTTTTTTTGCAATGTGGGTTCCGAGACCTCGTTCGCCCTTAAAAGAAAGCCCGCATATCGGACAAACTTTATCATCAGGGCGTAGAGCTTCATTTTGCCGCTCACTAAGTACCTCTGCGACATTCAGCGGATCATTTGGCAATCTGGGAAAGACATCATCTATCGACACCGTCTTTCCCAATACCACACCTTCTGTGTCAGGCCATTCCACTTTAACAAATTTATTATCTCCGCCTCCTGCAGTAGCCACAGACATCACAGAGGCAACAACCGCCTCTTGAACAGGTCCTCCAGTTCTCAGAACCCATACCTTTTGTCCAACTTCGATCTTCTTCGTTGGTATTTTGTTCATTGCAATATTTTTTTTTTTCGTTCTAGACTATGCCCACCACGCGCATGATTGAAACAATCTGTGCATAATTAAATAAATAAATAAATACAAAGTTAAAAACTATAAAATTAAGTGTTAAATAGTGTTATAGTTAAAATATAAAATCGATAAAAGCTTAAAAAAAAAATATACATCTATCAAATAAATTGCTTATAAATAAGTTACAATATAAAATCAGTAAAAAGTTTAAAGTTAAAATTTAAGTACAAGTTAAAAATAAGTGAAAGTTAAAATCTAAAAAAGTTAAAATCTAAGAAAGTTAAAAAGTTAAAATCTAAAAAAAAGTTAAAAAGTCAAAGTCTAAAAAGGTTAAAATCTAAAAAGGTTAAAATCTATAAAATAATTTCCTAAAATGAGTTAAAATGTAAAATCAATTAACTGTTAAAACGTTAGAATCTAAAAGAATAAATAAATAAAACAATAAAAATAGTAATTGCCTAAATCAGTTAAAAATCAAAAGATAAAAATTTAAGTAGTTATAATCTAAAAAAAAAACAATATACAAACCTATCCACATCACATTATCAAACCTAATATATAAAATAAATTACAAAATATAGGATCATTAAATACTTTTAAAAAAAGAAAAAATTCAGTTCAGCAATAGTAAAAAAAAAAAAAAAAAAAAAAAAAAAAAAAATGTCCACTTTAAAACGTTCTATTAATAATAAATTATGATAGTAAAAACTTATTTTTTTCTTTTTATATTTTTGAGAGAAAGGGAAATACAACAGTGTTTAATAGAATTCTATTTAATTTTACTTAATTTTAAATATAATAGATTTTTAACACATAAGTCGTCCAGTCTGTATAACCTTCTTAATTATTTTCTTATCACCACACAGGTAATTAAATTATTTATCGATTATAAAATAATTGCTTCTACAACAAACTTGAAACGAAATGGAGGAGGCTATTGCGACTCTTAGGCAATAGCTTATGCCTATAAAATAAGCAAGATAATAAACAAAGAAAGATTGACAGAAAAAATACACACGGATGCAATTTTTTCAGTCCATATAACCTTTTAAATTATTTTCTTATCATCAAACCAGGTAGTAATTCAATTATTTATTGATTGTAAAATTATTGCTTCTGCAACTAACTCGAGACAAAATGAGAGGAGAGGGAGAGGCGACTCTTAGACAATAAGTTTATGCCACTACAAACTAAAATACTTAACTGTAATAGCATAATGGAACAAAAACAAGATAAGTTACTTTTTATTCAAACCAATCTCTAAAACTAATTATTAGAAAGTTTAAATACTTAAAACTTTACACACATAAAAAAATGTACAAAGATGAACTTATTACCTCACTTCTAAACCACTGAGCAGTACGGTGGCCTGAATCACCCTCTTTGTCAGGATGATTGTCACATATACAACTGTTTTCCACACATAGAATTGGCCTCAAACCTCCTGAACTAGTAATCTAAAAAAAATATGACAACTTATTGTTCAGATAAAAACTAAGCTACTCAGTTGTTTTAAAAAATAGTTTGTTTCCCAACTAAATGTGAAAAATATTCATTTCTCAGAGCAATACAAAGATAAGACATTTATGATTAAGCTGAATCAGTGAATTTGTAACATATGACATGAAAAACTCAGGTAAACTGTTCACAAATATTTTTCAGTCATTAAATTGCTATCAGTTGAAAAAAGACTAATTTAAACAAAAAGTTTGTCTTAAACAAAATCATACCTTGTTTTCTAACATTATGAACAAACATTTAAGTTATGTCATCATATTGCCATCTAAAGAATGTAACATTCAATTCATAAATGATTTAATGAAAAATAAAATTGAGTCAAAATGTAATGAAGTAATTAGAAAAAGTCAATACTCCTTTTATTTTTTAGAGTTACTTAAATTAGGTACATTTAATTTAATTATGAAATCTGATGAAATGAGAAATACGTGACTTATCAAGAAAAATTAATAATTACATCAATGATCGCTTCATATTCAATATTATTCCCCTATAAGTAAACAAATGTCTTAAATTGTCAATGAATTTATTCTTTTATTATTATTTATCACTGATATTTGGCAACTATAAAGAACTTAAACATCATGAGTTTAATTATGATTTATAATGATAATCACCTTTATCTTTAGGAATATCAATTTGTAAACTTTGTAACTTAAATCATTCACAGTAAAGCTCTATGGAGGTCTGGGGATCTCAGAAAGACTGTTGAGTCTATACTCTTAATCCCTCATCTTCCATTTGAGGGAAGTTAAGAGAAGAAAAATAGTTGTTAACAGGTTTTTATAGAGAGCCATCTGGTTGCATATTTAATGATCCTCTAAATTTGGCATTTAAATTACTCAATAATGTTCCATATATCCAAATATGGAAACATCTAAAAACTGCATAACCATTTATGGATACCATTATTGATTATCTGGATGTCTAGAAATATGTAGAAACTCAAGTTAGAAAAATGAATTAATCAAAAAGTTTGAGACAAAACCAAACCAGACTAACACAACACATAAATCACACGCTAACTTCAATTTGTAATTATTATCATAAATGTTGCAACTGCTAAAGTTCAAATTTCAATGCTGAAACCAGGAAACAAATGAAGTAAATTACCGATGAATGAACACAAAAATGGTACCTGTAATTGCTCAGGTGTTATGACGTTAAAAGAAGCCCCGCCAGCAGAAACGTTAATCAAAGATCCCACAGGAACCGAAGGTGTGACAGAAACATCTTCCACTGAAGCCACCGACACTCTAGATTGAGTTCCGTGGGCTTCCGAAGATTCATTTTCGTTGCTTTCGGTTTTGTTCGCCAGAGGATCGGTTATGTCCGGAATTACGACTTCTTCCGAACATTGACCTTCCATCACTCATAAATGGCGCGAAAGAAGAATGAGCTGGATATATGAGATGATATCTAGAGTGAATGTTAAAGACTATATCCGCAGAATAAACATCAGATAAAGGTTCAGGACAATTTTTCTCAGGACTGAGTATAATGGCGGAATTAGCACTCTTGGGCCGTTAGCTTCTATTGTCTACCTCGGGAGCGCAGCAGTGTACCTCCTCTAAAGTTGTCACTATTTTTTACTATTTAAAATTAAAATCCATTATTTATCAATTGATGCAAATACCTTATTTTGTATGAAATCGAGAGATTTATATATAATCAATATCATTAACTTGAAGTAATCTTTTGTATTGTTTAAGATTAATAATTTATATTTTAGTTATTGAATAGTTGGAAATGTGATGGACATTCCTATAAGCACGTACACAACCAATATATGTACTTACATAGTGGCAGACTGCCACTGGCAATCAGAAGTAATTGTAAACCCCAAATTTAGGCTTTCAATAAAATTGAAATGAAATATGATTATAAAGCATTTACATGATAATCTTTTATTATTTTTATACAGCTATAAAATTCAAAATTTGTTATTAAAAACTAAATCACTGCTAAAATAAACATGTATTCCAAGCTTCATCATTTTCATTAGCTAAATAATTATCTATATCTCAGTCTATTTTTTGTTCAACAGTCGCAGGTTTGATATCCAGGTGTTTTGTTCATCAGCGAATATAAAAATACTGAAGTGTTCCACATTTGTAAATTGCTTACTTGACTATTCGTGATTTTTAAAAAAAATCTGGTGTGCACGACACACAATTTTCACTTAGCTCTCTACTTTGAATAGAAATTATTATCTGGCAACGTTGGGCTATTATAAAATTTGTGTAGTGCACTTTTAACCGACCTTAACCTTAAAGCTTACAGCCACAGGCGAATCTAAAGAGCTTTCGGGCTTAAGTCCCCAACCTCCCAAAAAATGGTAAAATATAACCATAGAAAAAAATATTAAAAACTATCTCTTAAAGTATTGTTGTTCGTGTAATAACATTTAAAAGGACTTCAAGAATCACTTAAACCCCATGTCATATAGGCAGTTAGTTTCTTACTTTTTAAAAAAATTAATTATCGTTATATATATATATATATATATATATATATATATATATATATATATATATATATATATAAAAAGCTTTCGGGCTGAAGCCACCTGGATCCGCTAGTGCTTACAGCTAATATATATTATTAATACCATTAAAATATCAAAAATCCTAATTATTATATCAACAGATGATTATGGATTGTACGATCCGTTGATAACGGATTATAGGATTATTTGTTATTAAACTGTAATTTTCCATTGCAAAGTTTACTAAAATTGAATTATGAGATTTGCATTGACTGTCATAAATAGGTCAAAAGTTGTCACACTAATTGTAAGTGGATATCACTAACTGTTGGGACATCACAAAGGTAAAATTCATCAAAATATTCACTAATTTAATTTTCTAAAAGTTTAAATGATGATTTTTCAGAATAAATGGATGATAAATACCAAAGTATTTAAATATAATATCAGATCTAGAGTTATTTAACTACAGTAAATGTATTTAAGATTATAAACATATTTTATATATATTCGTGAAATATATTTACTTTTTACTTTTCCTTACCTAGAGATGTAATATATAGTAAGGGAAAGTATAGCGATCGTAAAAATTTTCTAATCAGAGTTTTCAACCGAAATACGCGTTCTGACGTCCCCTGAGTCCAAATAACCAAGTCCTGAAAAATGGTCTATGTGTCTGTTATTACTAGACTAATATTACTATTTGAAATATAGAGCCGTAAAAAGAAATGGCTAGTGTCAAACAAAATAAATATAATACATTTGACATAATGAATACATTAATAAATATAATTAATTGTATTAAATAATGTTTCGTACCGTCTATAATTTTTACTTTCACTTTTCTTCGTCTGAAAATAATTCTGCTAAGAAGATCGTGGTCAGTGAAAGTTGTGTGATGCGCGCACCATGTTAAATGTTTAAGCCAAGTCCATCCCACCCATATTATTTTTGTTTTTTATTGTAATTATTATTTTTTTTTTATTCTATCTTATTTTTTATTTGTAATCGCCTCTATACTGGAAGGCCATTGGCGTTAAGTTTTTATACCCTATTATAATATTTAGTTTCTACTAAGTATTTGAACAGAGTAGTGACTATCTTCATTGTCTCCCGATATTTCCTTCATTGACGTTGGAAATTTTAGTTTTTGTCGGATTTGTTTAAACTGATGGCACTCAACTAATAGATGTTTCGCTGATGATGTGGCAAAGGACTGTAGGCACCTACGCCAATGCCGCTTTTCCACCGATTAAGTGCTTTTTCTAAAGAATCGTTTAAAATATTTTAAAATTAAATCAGTGATTTGGAAAGAGAAATGTATTTCATAGATGTTTTATTTCAGAGCATTTTTCGTTATTGTTGGCCGATTAATTACAAACGACGGTTGATGTGCAACCTGAACTCCTTTTTTTATGGAAAATTGGTTTTTACTGGTATTATTTCACTTACCTATATATGTAATATATATTAAGGGAAAATATTGTGATCGTGAAAATGTTCGAATCTGAGTTTTCAATGTTAATAAACGTTTTGAGGTTCCCTGAGTCCAAATAACCAAGTCTCGCAAAATGGTATATGTGTATGTGAACAGTCTAGCTCAAAAACGAAGTGTCTTACGAAAGTGAAATTGCATACTTAAGGTTTGTATATGCCTGAGATGTTACACTATGGACAGGAGTTCATCAGCAGGACATGACGGCATCACGGTTCAACAGTGGGAGTCCTTGTCGCCATCATACAGATCAATACTTTTCAACCTATATTTGGCCAAATCTCCTGATTTTCCTATCCTGACCTCTGCACGTTCAATATTGATCCCAAAATCGGAAAACCCCAGTGAACCAAACGATTACAGACCCATTACAGTACCGTATGTCCCGTTACGACAGTTACACAAGATTCTGGCTGCAAGATTTAACAAAATGGAGCTTATCCACACAAATCAGCGTGCATTCATTGCCGCTGACGGTACCGCAGAATTACTAAGCCATTTATGAGTACTGAATGGTGTGGTAGGGGACTGAACGCACCTACGTCAGTACCGCTTTTCTGCCGCTTAAGTGCATTTTCTACGGAACTGCTTCAAATATTTTATAACGTAATCAGTGTTTTAGAAAGAAAAATATGTTCTCCAGAACTTTTATTTCAGCACGTTTTGAGTTATTGTTGGTCGTTTAATTATAAACGACACTTGACTGTCAACTTGAAATTTGTTTGTTAAAAAAGTTGACTTTACTGATGTTTTTTATTGCCTGAGCCGATTATTTTATAATATTTTTTCATGTTTTATTATTTTCTGACTGTTGAGCTTTAATAAAAGACCAAATATGACAAAATTAAGCCAAATGTTGATTTTCAGTAACCGAAAAACTAACTAAAGTCAAAGTCATCAATCCGCCATGTTTGGACGTCATTTTGAGGAAGTGCGTTCACTTTTTTTTTGTTAGAACATGTGTTTTTTTTTAATAAATAGTTACAAGGAACACAACGATATGCAATTTATAGGGATGTGGGATGGGGGGAGGAGTGCACGGTAGGAGGGTCTGGGGGTCACCCACCGTGTAGATAGTTCCTTCGGTACCATCGAGTCCTGCCTTTTCAAGCCCAAAAACATACTATTTTGGAGATAACGCGAGGCATGGGGTTCGCATCCACACAACCTTACGTTAATTGTAGTACTGTCATTGAATACATGTCTCATTTCATCGACTTAAGGCCTCTATGATTGAGGAAGGAGGAGTTAATATTATTTATCGATGGTGTTTTTGATCGGCAAGCCATATCATCGTTAATTCTTCACCCAATCTCAAGATTGAGCCACCAATTTTGAAGGCTTCCTTCTCCTTCAGGCGGACAAAATAGTCCAATCACTCCGAAAATTCAGGCAAACAAGTTATGAAAGAAAAGAAACTTTATTTGCGAATAACTAAAAAATTACACACTTTCCCCTTGGTTATGGCCATGATTATATAATACATTACTAAATTCTCTACAAAGGAAAAAAAAAATCATCGAAGGGGGAGGCTTAGTTTCGATTTGGTGCAAAATATCGGACAATTTTTAATAAAGATACAGCTTATTGAAATGTGTAAACATGTTGATTCCAAACATTAATGAAGTTTTAAATTAATTGTTGTTTCCTGTGACGATTATATTTATCGATAAAGCCGAATTTGATTTCTTTATCTTTTGATACGTTGCATTATTTTATTTTCTTATTAGTTTAGCATTTCATCAATAAACAATATGCTGTGCAAATTTTTCGCATGGACCTACTAGTTCTTTATTATTAATTTTAGTGATGTTGCAATTACCTATTCTGGAATCAACTTACTCTCTGTCTCTATAGATATAACTTTTCCAAATAGAAATATCACTAAAATGACATTACTCAAAAATTTTGAAATTGGAGTTGGTCATTCTGTCAACTGAAAAGCTAAGAGATTCAAGTTGTGTGGTTTATAAAAACAGATGGAGTTAAGTTATTTCTATTGCCTACCGTCGATGTAATAAATAGACTTTTTGTAATTTTAATGGTCTTAATGATTTGTTATCTTTAAGCATTAGCTCCGTTTAAAATTCATTTCAAAAATTCAAAATAGCCCGGCATTGACAGAAAATAATTTCTATTCAAAGTAGAGCGGTAAGTGCGAGTTGTGTGTTGTGCGCACCAGATTTTTACATCTGTGGATGTGAGTGTCTCTTCTTCTTATGACTCGATACTTCTCCAGATATCTTCTAGTGTGCTAACTCTGATCCATTGTTGTGTACGCTAGAATTTTTTCTTTAGTTTACATTTGTTTTCGACTTCATTTAATTATCATAAACCTATCGCTTCATTTTTAGATTATGATAGAAATGACGATCAGACAGAGTTGTTTTATTTTTTGGGGAGCTAAATAGGTTTTCTATTTATACTTGCTATTTATTTTCACCAATTTCATTAGCTTGAATAGTGTTAGTGAACTAATTAATAATTAATTATTTTTCACAAATGATTGAGGTAAGGATGCAAAGGGGAAAATATTCGATAATTCGAGTGGTAAAAATAAATAGCAAGTAT